TCTAGCGATGTAAGTCCGCAGACATACCGCTGTGCCACTCGGGGGGGGGGCAAAAATGGAGTTGTGGGGACATTTTCAGGGTCACAAACCCAATATTCAATCACACTAGAGTTAGCGGTGGATAATATTGAATGAGTGTTGTTCCGCAGACGCGAAAAGAAAAACTTAGATAAATAATAATAAAGAATAAACTGACACGTCTAAATGACGTGTAATTTGTGCTACGTTTCGAGCAGACACCCTTTGTCAGGCAGTAACGATTGGTGGATACTACCGACTAGCTGCCTTTTTTTTTTTTGAGTCAGGATTCAAAATTAGGTACAGCTAGCACACATAGGTCTTGAGTAGCTTAGCATGAATATCCAGAAAACAAACAGTTTGATAAATACACCAATCACAGTAGGAATGTCAACAGCAGCAACAACAATAATAAAAAGAACTACTTTTAGAACTTTGACCATACATAACACACAACTTCGTAGGATGTGCACTAATAGTAGTCGAGTTCACTAACCTTATCAGTAGCATTCAATTACAAACAGGGACCGGGATACATTTGTAGCTGATGTTCCCACCTGGCGGATTACCGAGATATCATATTAGTTCCACTCTGGAGCGAGCTGCCTGACATACGAATCGTGTGAACTTGTTTACCATAGTTTTGTTTTCACTTTTAGAGAGTTTTAAAAAGTATGGAGGAATTCTAATTTTTCAAATATGCATTTTAAAATAAAATGGAAATAAAGAACACCCTGAAACATCTATATAAAAACTTCACGTGACAACCGCGTGGGTATTGTTTGTTTGTTTGGAATTAAGCACAAAGCTACACAATGGGCTATCTGTACTCTGTCCACCACGGGTATCGAAACCAGGATTCTAGCGTTGTAAGTCCGCAGACATGCCGCTTTGCCACTGGGGGGGGGGGGTATTGCCAGTAATATTGCTATAAATAATATATATATATATATACATACATACTATATCGTGTTAAGTATCTTTGTCGTATATTTACTTATGTGTTCAACATCGTTAGCACGTATTAATTAGGTGTTAACCTACAGGGCATTCTTGCGTATAATTGTAAAAAAAAATATTTGGAAATTACATCTAAAACATTCATTTTAGTACAGTAAGTTAGCTAGTAAAGCAAGTGACTAAGAAAAAAATACACACATGAATACACATCTTACAAATATGTACGAAATCAATACATTTAATTGTATCAAAAGTATGGAAAAATTTGTTTTTGTACAGAAACACTTATTAACATGAAAGAAAACATTACTTATATAGGCCAAATGTCATGTTGTTGTTTTTTGAGAGGACAAAAGGCAACTCTGATTGAACTAACATACTAAAACCCTTCAGCTATGTTACAACGGTTTGTATATACAATTAATAAAAGTAATTTAAGGCGTATTTTTTTTAACGACATACTCTTAGGTACAACCTTGCATATTCTATTTTTTGTTTGTTTTAACAGAAACCATGAGAGCGACATTTAATGTAAGTTCTGCTGTCAAACACACACACACAAAATATTCACAGTATCTTTAAGTAAAACTTGAAATGTAAGAAATTAATTGGAATTAGGCGTAACTAGAATTCACTTTTCCAACACTGAAAAACAATTTTTTCGTACCTGAATCACAAACTGGAGTGAAACAGTTTTTAGATCTCTACACGTATTACTACATAAACTTTCTTTGCTCATTTTGATCATCAGAGGAGTGAAAGTTTTGTTTTCCAATAATTTAGTATCTTACATAGTTTAACATTATTTTAAAAAGTTATGGTAAATTATTCCCATTTCTGTAGAGATTGTGGTAGAAACCTATCTAACAAAAACAGTATGTTACTGTAAATAATGGTACAAAACAAAGTAACAAGGAGATAATAATAGGTTATTAATATAACTTTTAAATAAATGGGTTGGTGCTCATGATGCTTTCATTATGTATATAATTCATTTCAAATGTATTATTATTTGTTAGTTATAAATTTGATCTTTTTTTTTTCATTTTACAGTCATATACTTTTGCTTTAATTGTTTAAATATAAAACATATTTTTCGTGTGTGTACATAAGTGCAGAAGTACATTATCACTTTACACTCAGTATTTTTTTTTCAACCAAATGAAGTAAAATTAGCTGCAGATTATAACTTGCAAATGTAAAAAAAAAAGTCACATAATATAAATGCTTACATTTGTTTGAAACTTACAATGGAAGACATTGTGATCACACAGAATAAATGTAATTTTATCAAAAATAATATCCATAATTTATACAAATAAGAAACGGGAATAATACCTTAATAGAAATTAAGTGAAGTGTATTAAAAAAAAACATGTACCTTGTCACACTTAGGACTGAAATATTAAAAGGTAGATTACAAATAATATATTTACCCCTCTCATTCTGAAAATACTATTCACTGTGAGGTCTGTGAATTCTAATGGCATAATCAAAATGTTGTCACTACTTGAAACAAGATAGTCTTGTGTATTGAAATAAATACATTCTACGAAGCAACTACAGTTTTTGGATATGAGTATTTTTGTACCACATCAAAACACAAAAGGCACCAAAGACTATTGATCAAAGTACACAAAAGTTAATGACGGGAGAATGATTGTTCTATTTCAAAGTGATCTCATTCACCAGTTCTTCTTCGTCTGGTGCCTATTCACACATTTACACTGTCAAAATGTGGTTTTTTCAAACAGAAGCTCTCTATTCACTATATAAATACTGCTTCTGAGGGAGGATGTGTGTTTTGAACTTGCTGATGAGGTTGTGTTACTGCTTGTTGTGGTTCCATTGATGAAAGTGGTTGTAGGTTATTTGCATTCATAGGGCTAGAAATACCTTCAGACCAGTCACTTTGAGCAGAATGTGGGGAGGAACTTGACCACTGGCCAGGAGATTCAGGAGAAGGAGTTAAGTATGTCTCTGGGGGATGCATATAATGCTGGGGCGTAGCCTCTGACCCACTATAACTATGTTGGGAAGGAGGAGTTGGGAACTGAAATGGGTGATTACAAGGCACTTGTTGCTGACCAGCTGCTGACCCCTGTGGATTTATCTTCTGACTAGTGGTGCCAAGCATGGTGGGAAAGTCATAGCTATGATTCACATTTTGTTGTGGTTGAATGTGTGCATTTTTCTGCTGGTGGGCTGCCCTCATAGCAGCCATGTGGGTAGGGGAAGTTGGAAGTGATGGCCGTTGCTTCACTGGAGAAGATGAAGAGTACTGGTGAGACGGTGGGACCTGAGACAATGTCACACTTCCTTGCATGGAGTTTTGTCGAAGATGGTGAGGTGCAACATTCTCTACCGTGTGCATATGAGGTAGCATCCCCTCATTTACATACACTAGTTGTCTTTCCATGTCTCCAATGGTTCCATATAACTGGGGATTAATACAATCCTCATAAGTAGGGGGTTGTTTCATATGCATTGTACAGGCAATGTTATCAAGGGATGTCAGATCTGAGTGAGACAGGGCTAAGCCATGTCCACTGTATAAAGTATTAGTAAATGCATGATGTGCACCATTCAAATGTTGAGCTTCAAAGGAGTTCAAAGGAGGCAAGTTAAGCTGCCCTTCCATTCCATGCATGTCATATGATCCCTGTTCCTTTTGTTTCTTCATGGAAACCTTTCTTCTGATCCCACCCTCACTATTTTGAAAAGAATGATTTTTTCCATCTTGCATGGACATGTTAACTAAAGCGTTTACCTTTGGCCTCTTCTTAGACTTAGTGGATCTGGTGGAGCTGATGAGTGTTTGTGGAGAGATCGTGGATCCATCCATACTGTTAGGTATGCGAGATATTTGCGGACTTTGAGCTATGAATTCATCTAACAACCTCACAATATCATGGTGCATACGTTCTAAGGCTACATCTCTTGGAAGACGGTCCATATGGTCAGTAATGTCTCTATTAGCAAAGTGCTCCAGCAGTACTTTCGCTGCCTGATAACTCCCTTCCCTGGCCGCTAAAAAGAGCGGTGTCTCTTCTTTGTTATCTTGGACATCTCTGTTTGCTCCGTGAGACAGAAGTGCTCGGACAGCATCCACATTATTTACTGCTGCTGCCCAGTGAAGTGCAGTTTTCCCTAAAATTGAAGGGAAAAAATCTTAAATAGAACAGTATAATTTATAGAGCAAAATTATAGAGTATAGAGTAAAACAGTATAGAGCAAAAATTAATCTACACACATAATTCTGAAATTTCAATGAAGATATATATCTAGAAATATTCATATTTTTCATTACTCAGTAAACTAATGAAACTAATGTGTGCTTATATATATATGTGTTTCCCATTGAACTCTAATAAGTCTCTTTTGTTTATGTAAATTTTGTTCTGTACTTCACGAGTTTTACTTTCTTGAGTGTTAAAAACTAAAATTCCTTGGTTATTATTCAGAAATATGAGCTTGTTGCAATATGAATTAGATAATAAAACAATATTCTGACCATCTCAAGATTGCAATGTCATCTTCAGTAAACATAGCTACATATGACTTAAGAAAAAAAAGGAAGAGCTGATGTAACTTTTGTACCTACTTTGGTACACTTTCATCATAAATAAAGTTTGTCCAGGGTTCCACCTTGACCTAACAATAACTTTTCTCATCACCCAGTCAGTGTTACAAGTTTTAATAGGAAATCATAGTAACTCACATTTTATCACAAAATTGATTAGTATATTATTACATGATGTTAGCCGACATGTTTCTATATTACAATAATATTATTACATAATGTTAGCCAACATGTTTCTATATCACAATAATATTATTACATAATGACAGCCGATATGTTTATATATTGCAATAATATTATTACATAATGTTAGCCGATATGATTATATATTACAATAATATTATTACATAATGTCAGCTGATATGTTTCTATATTACAATATACAATAAATGCGAGAAGGTTATAGGAAATGTGAGCAACATAAAATGTTAAAATGGTTAGTGTATTTTCAAAAACTACTTTATGAAATAAGCAAAAACTTTCAATCAGCTAATCTATCATGTTCCATCTTATGTTTTTAGGTATAGTTTCATGCAATTTGTTGCCCAGCCATATTATAAAAGAAGGTAAGGTTGTAGAAATTTCCTAAGCAGAGTAGTGTGGCTTCCCCCCCCCCCCAAAAAAAGTAAAATGATGGGTAAATTTTCAAATCAAAACATTTCTGTATTTTTATATATGATCATATTTAATCCTTGTAGGAATATTAATCATAACTTTAGACTACTGTAATTTCTAAACCTTACATTTGTTTGTTGCCAATACCTTAGATCTTTTTAGTATGATAGTTTAGGATATACCAGTCAATATTATCTTATGAATAAACAAATGAATACAGCTAAGTCATGATGGAGGCTGAATACAAATAAATAGTTAAAATCAATCAAAGTGAATAAGATGGGTGAAGGTCTTTTAACCAAAACACTGAGTATATATTTCTGTCTCCCTTAGAACAATTTTAATTTTTTTTTATTTCCCCATTGAACTATCTTTGCCAGAGAAAACACACTAATATTTTACTAACATATCAGCAAATCCATGATCAAAAACATACTTCTAATGTACATACTTTTTACTGATAATTTTTCCACATAAAAATATATAAATATCTAACAGTAAGTAACATTTTCTACAAGATGTACAAAGTACACATGTTGAACCATGTTTCATTTCAAAACTTACTAAATGTTCTAGGCTTTTCCAAAATTGATTTTTGACACTCATATAACTCACCTAGATCATCAGTTGCATTAATATCAGCTTCAGCACTTATCAGGTCTTCAACCATCCCCTCTATTGCAAGTCTTGAAGCAAGGATCAATGGAGTTGTTCCATCATGCATTCTGGCATTTAAATTTGTGGCTCTATTTCTTAACAAAATCTGAAAACAAAATGTATGTATGTTGTTTCTTAACAAATACAAAGACATGTTTAACAAAAACAAGTTTTACAACATAAACAGCTCAAAGAGAACTTTTAAAAATAAATAAAGTTCAGAAAAAAAAAGAGACTGCTTGACCACAAAATAAGTACATAAACACACACACAGGCCTATTGAGAGTAAAACAAGCTGAGTAATACTTTAAATTAAAATATGTCTCACAAAAAATGCTTTAAAAAGAGAAGTATTTCAACCATAAAAACAATTTTAGAAAACAATGCAATACTAAAAAAAATAACTTAAACAGTTCTCACTGTTAACAACAGGTGTCAGTAAAAACTTCTAGTAATACTAAAGAAAGTATTAAATTAGTGTTTAGGTGCTAAAAAAAGAAACAATTATAGTAGTTATTAGTATAAAGAAAAAAAGTGACACTTATGATTGATAGCACAAAATATCAAAATTAATGTGTATTTAAAAATATGTTATTTCAATATAAAAAAACATAAACATCACATTTGTAAAAATAAACATAGAAATGCCTCTAACCTTTACTATGATTATGCTTCAAAAATATAAGATCTTAACTGCATCTTGAATCTCTTGTAGATTTGTGTGTGTGTGTGTGTTTTTCTTATAGCAAAGCCATATTGGGTTGTCTGCTGTGTCCATCAAGGGGAATCAAACCCCTGATTCTAGTGTTGTAAATTTGTAGAATTACAACTGTCCCACTAGGGAAACTTTGTAGATTTAAATGACTTTCATTCTCCTCTTAAACATAATAAATGTGTATTTACCTGGAAGACTCCCTGAGCATCAGCTGAGATAGATGCATGCAAAGGAGTTCGACCAGTATTATCTTGAGAATTAGCATCAGCTCCTGCATCCAGCAATTTTTTAGCAGCATCTGCACGTGCATATCTAGCAGCTAGATGAAGAGATGTTTCTCCTGGATTTAAAATACATACAAATCAATTAACTATAAAACACAAAATAATACATTCATTGGAAAAACTTGCAAAGAGAAATATTTAAAAGAGATCAAAATTAATTGCACTTACCATCACAAAATATCCCCTGTTTAGAAGTAATTTTTTTAAATTTTAGACTGCAATTCAGAAGATAAATTTTTTATATATTATGTTGGAGATAACACACATTGCTGTTTTGACTTCTTACTTTAGTGTATAATATTTTCAAGCTATTTATGTTCTTCTTTAAAATACGAGAAATAAACTATCTACACATTAATTATTATATATCCATAAGAACTGAATACTAAATGTTATATTTAGGTGATGATATAAAGAAATTTTCTTTTCATAATTAATGATCATTAAGTATTTACGTATATGTAAACTTTCAATGATAATATATAAATTAAAGTGGAAGACTTCATTATTTGTAGAATTCTGAGATACAGAATCACATAAAACAGTTTTTAAGTGAAAAAAAAAAATCCTGTGAAAACTTTAATATCTAGTATGGTTTGTATTAATTATATCAGTGTAGTAGAACAAACAATTGAAACAGAAAATAAAATACTCCAAAACGAAAGTGTCAAGTCATTACAAAAAATAAATGCTGCATTTGTGTTTTATCAACAAACCCACTTTGTTTATTTTTGGCTCCACATGTGGTTTGGTAATATATATCTTTATCTATGTATTTTCTTAAAGAGTTGGAATGTTTTCACATGGAGAATGTCAAATAATCATTAAAATTTAATAACATGTTGGCAATAAAGTATCTGAATGATTGTTTCTCTTGTCTTGCGAAATAATTATGTTAAACTAAATTGGTTTCAAGTATGTTTACTGAATTATAATTAAATGACTTACCTGTTCTTTCAGTCATCATGTTGATCTTAGCTCCTTGAGTGAGAAGATCCTGAATCATGCTCACAGATCCATCATCTTCTTCAACATCTTCACCCGTGTCCAAGCCTCCTCCTCTAAAAGATGCTAACATGAGAGGTGTAAGGCCTCCTACATAAAAGATAAAACAAAGGAAAATTAGGGATAGAAAACACAAAAACTGGAATACATAAAAAAAAATCATAATGAAATGATAAATGATTGAAGAACGATAAAAAACTAAAAAAGTGAATATTTTTTAAGCCAGTTATTTACACTTAAGACTTTAAAAAATCTTCCCTCTGTAATTAGTGTTGTCGTTTTTTTTTTCAAGGAAAACATCTTTTTCCTCTGTTTTTTTTAATTAGGCTTAATTGAAAGTGTAAAAACACAAAGAAACATGGTCAATCTAATATATCACATGTACTCATTACTAGATTTTATGTACAATCATACACACCTGGACCTCTAACGTCAACATCAATGTTTCCTGGATCTAATTCATTATCTCCTTGTGGAGGAGTTAAAGCAAGAATGTCGGGATTACGAACATCTGCTGCATCAAGATGTTGTTGTGTCCAAGGCCGAGGGTCATTCTCATCATAATCAGTAGTGGTCATTACTGTGTGAGTATCTCCAAAACTAGGATCTGGTGAATGATCACTTTTCATCCTTTTTAATGGAGGATCATCGTCCATATCCTCATCACTCCATCCTCCTATATCTGAAGGCATGGCACTGTTATCATTGGCATCCACATTAATTCTGTGAGAAGAAGCATGCTTATGCATATTCCTTCAGTGAAGAAAAAAAAAAACATTGCAGTTTCAATATAAAGAACATATTCCAACATTTGAATTGAAAGAAAACATGTATAACATGTATAGTTTTCTTTACTACTAATTTCAACAGCATGATATTACAAGTTAATGTCTTAACATATAAAAAAATGGCATAACATATAGTCTACAAAACAAAAAAATGGTATTTTCCTTTTGTATTGTAGAATATGTATCATTTTTTAAACCAATCAACTATCTAATATTTATACTTACTTATTTAAGCTTGTTAATACATATCAGTAACTCTGCTTAGTTTTTTATTTCATAGCAGTATCACTAACTATACCTCATTTCTTGTCCATCTGGTCCTCGGCGTCGTGACTGTCGTCTCTGACCACTACTGGTCCTAAAAAATCCCTCAGGAAACCAGGTTATACCATGTACTCGTTTCCTCTGTGCTGTAACCAGTACACCAAGCAGCAGTCCAAGTAAAATTATGACAATCACCCCAATAACAATGTAAACCATGTTTGGATAAGTAACATCAGAGCCACGAGTCTCCTGTAATTCATCCGAACTTCGAATCTGTTCAATCTGGAAAGCTGTGTCCAAGGAGTGACGAGAATGAGATGCAGCAAGAAATCGTGCAGCCTGTGAAATAAACTCTGTTTCAGACACTTAAAGTTTACAAACATCTCAACATTTTATTCCAGCTTATACAAAATAGAAAAAAAATTACATTTAATTGCATAATTCTTTACAATATTCTATACACTTACTTCTGCTGCTGACTGGAAACATTCACTGTATGTTGACTTAAGACACCTTCGATTATCAATTTCCAGATGAACTTCAATTCTGGAATGACAACAACAAAAAAAACAGTTAAAATAAATTCAAGCATCATAATTTGCCCAATTTTAGCAATTCCCAAGTCCTGTCAAAAACATGTATTCATGAAAATTAAAATTTGCCTCAAATTTTAGTGTAAATCAATAACTTAGCAACAAAACATGTATAACTACTGTGTAATTATTAACAGCTACACTTTTCCTGTGTGCTTACTCAAAAACCCTCTAAGTGAAGCTACACAGGAATGTTTTAAATCAATATACAAATTCTCCACACACAGGATTGAAGAAATTGTGATGTATCTATAATGTCGTTCTAACACAGGAAACTTTTTTCTTATATATCCACACAAATGGGCATCATTTTTCCATTAATTGGTTTTTAGCTAATTATGATCAATTGGTACACAGTTAATGTTATTACATGTATTATTTAAATATATGAGTGTTTTTATTCTGTTTTAAATTTCATGCAATGTTTTCATCAAACAGATTAAAACAACTTCTCTTACTCTTCCACTCATAAATGCGAGTAGAACTTGTCAACCAACAAAGAATTCTTTCAATCACTACATGACTTTCATGATAGGCTACAAGATATAGCTATTAGAACTTACCCATTTTGTCCACGATGCCGTGGAAAACTGTCTGGGTCTTTGGGTTTCCAAGGATAAATCATCTGATCTCCTTTATCATTTGTTTTAATTTTTAAATTTGTTCGCAGAACACGGCCAATTTCCCTCAGGAAGGATAAGACAGTAGTTTCAAAATCCTAATGACAATATAAATAAATCTCCTTTACAACACTTAGGTGTCGAGTAACTTAACATAAGATATATTTCAATATACAAAACCATGAGGAGTGATAGCATTATCAAAGCAGACTATATTTTACACTAAAACCATGTATTTCAGCCATGTATAACTTTTGAAAAAAAACATTTTTTTATATAATTATTTAAAAAAACTTTCATCTTTTTTTATGGAATGCAATGGATTACTCCTAAGCACACCAATGCAATTTTATTGTGAATAATACACAGTAATAATATCCATTAAAAAAATCTTAAAAGATTTTCTCAGTAATAACTTTTGTAATAGTTTTACCAGTCTTGTTTACATTCAAATTAATATCATTTATTTGGAAATAAACAAATATATCAAGATCATTGTAGAGATTTCATAAAAAAAATTAATACTGAAAGGATATATTATAGTTGAGCAGCTATGAACCAGATCTAGTGGACTTATGACAATTCAACACACAAATATTTTAAAATTATCATATTCTTTACACATACTTTAAAACAATGAAAAACATTATATTATGAATGACTTTTCTCTCAAAAATCGGTCCAGCATGGCCAGGTGGTTAGGGAGCTCGACTCACAATCTGAGGGTTGTGGGTTCAAATCCCCTTCACACCAAACATGCTTGCCCTTTCAGCCATCGGGGCGTTATAATGTGACAGTCAATCCCACTATTCGTTGGTAAAAGAGTAGCCCAAGAGTTGGCAGTCGGTGGTGATGACTAGCTGCCTTCTCTCTATTCTTACACTGCTAAATTAGGGACGGCTAGAGCAGATAGCCCTCGTGTAGCTTTCAAAAATAGTTTGATTTTGTTCACAAGAATATTGGGTTAGTCAAATAATCCAGTTGAGATATACTATATTAATGATGATGTTAATTCAGGTGAGATATTCTATATTAATAACTATGTTAATCCAGTTAATTTACCACATTAATAACTATGTTAATCCAGTTAATTTACCCCATTAATAACTATGTTAATCCAGTTAATTTATCACATTAATAACTATGTTAATCCAGTTAATTTACCATATTAATAACTATGTTAATCCAGTTAATTTACCACATTAATAACTATGTTAATCCAGTTAATTTACCACATTAATAACTATGTTAATCCAGTTAATTTACCACATTAATAACTATGTTAATAGAGTGGAGAAATGAAAAAGCATAAATTTCAACATTATGTGGAACATTAAGGGAATGTATGCTCATTTGCAAGAAGCACTGAATAATATATATAAACTAATTGTTTATGTTTTCTTTTATGGTCTGTTTTAAAACCGTAAGTGAAGAGTTAATAATGTATGAACTTACTGGTAAATCTATCAGAAGGGTGATGACCATTTCACCATTTGCTAACTGAGGTTTGTCATCTTCACAATCCAAGCCATCCCAATTACACTCTTCATTATTACATCCATAGTCACACTTTCCATTAGCATAGTTCATATGACAGTAGCTATCATACATTTCACTGAAAGTAATCAATGAGAAAATTAGATCAAGAACCCTTTGTGATGAAAGCTTTTTCATTTGATGCAAAGTTTATTTATTGAGTAAAAAAATTTTTTTTTATCTTAAATATAGCTAAAAATATAGAAAACGCTATGACTTCAACACTGCATAAATATCAAAGCCATGGATATATATAATAATAACCGTACAATGTCATCTCCATTTAGTTGTCCCAGTATGCCAGGAAATCTTTTATATGAAGATTTATTCAATCAATTTCTAATTTGTTAGATTTTGTTGATAAATTACAATTTTCAGAATGTTCTATGAATCCACTCATACTTTGTTTTCCGTTTTTTTAATAATTTTCTTTATAACAAAAACTAACTAAATCTTCATAATCTTACCTGCACAAAAATGTACAAGTTCAACGGATATAAAAGAACAACAGTACACAGTATTTGGTTTACTATCATCAGCAGTTGTCAAAACATTTAGGTCTTGGTTAATAGATTTTAAAGATTTTAATTGATTCAGTGCAACATTGTTCCTTTCTTCAACTTTATATTACTCCATGCTTCTATTTTTTCAGTAAAATAAAAATAACGAAACAAACGTTGTGGAGTAAATTATAATAAATTTCAAACACATTCACTTTTATGAAACCTAGGGTATTTAATATTTTTCCTGTTACTTTGAAATTCATTGAAAATGTGAAGCCCAAGTACATTTCAAGTATCTTGTTATATGCAAACTAAGTTTCATTCCAATGACAAATAAATCAAATCAATAATTTAAGTGCTTCCTTTGAAAATATTAATTTAAAAAAATATTTCATAAAGAAACACATGTGAAATGCCCAAAGATTAAAAGAAAACTTCTGGGGTGATGATTTCAATGAGGCTCATCAACGAGTTTGAAATTTTTAAGAGGTACAGAAAACACAGTATAAACTAAAAACCTGCTTTACAAAGATGATTCCCTATATACTGTACAAAAATGTTGGTTTATAAAAATATTCTCCAGTAAACTGTACATACTTGCATGGTGGAAGGTTTTGAGTGCAATCAAACCCATCAAAGAGACATTCAATATTGTTACATTCAATGTTGCATTCCTCGTTACGGAACACATCCCAACAGTTGATAGCTGCTGTACAGTTTTCCCAAGGATTGATTCCTATAAGCAAAAATAAAAGTTTTTATGTATGTTTTAACTTTTAATCTATATTTTCTTCCTTGTTTCAAGAATATGAGCCATTGTATTGGTTTTTAAATACAAAAGTATTAAATTTAATATATTCTCAATGAGTAATACACAGTTTTGCAGTAGGAATATGTTTAAATATTTAGCTAAAGATATTTTGACTCAAAGGAGTGGGTCATCATGAAGTTATGATTGATTTCAGTTGAACAATGTTTACATGATAAAAAATATAATATTTAATTAATACATGAAATTTTACAAACAGTTCCCAAAGGTGGTGTTAGCTTGGTAAATTTTTTTTATCATTCTATTTTGATTTGTGGAAAATTCTCTCGTTTCCGTTTAGGAATTTTGAAAAGTATCATTTTCATGAAATCTAAATTTGTAAGTTACGAAAAATTGAAAAGTTTGAGGTAAATCAATACTTAATAACTTAGAAGAGGTTATAGCCAAATCAAGGCTTTTTACTAAGGCATGCAATTTAAGAGTCATTTATTCGAGGTTTTGTTAGAGAAATTGATGATATTTATGTTTCTGTAATAGGAGGTTTTAGAAGCCTATTTTTACTCATTTTTATATTAAAAATTCATCATGCTGCAACTGATTTTTTGTTATTTATGTTTCAATATTACAAAAAAGCTTTTTTGAAGCAGAAGGTAATCTCATGTTATACATTCTGAAACTATTTTTGCTGTCTAAGACATTGTTTTAAATGTTATACAAGGAAAAAAAAATTTAAATCGTGTGAAACTTAGGACTAAAAAAAAATTCATTATTTGTCTTATTTAGTAGCTTTCATAATCATCTTGCAATAAGTTAAATTTAAGATAATATACTTAAATCTTGAGAACTCTTTGACAATAGCTTAGGTGAAGGACCATACGAAAATAAGGAAGTGTTACTGTTTGAATCTCTTTTTAAATATTAGCAAAATATCATACATTTTGTGTAGAAGTATACTTCTTACATGGGGCGGAACTAAGCACTATCTAAAAACTTGCATCAGGTTGGTACTTTAACAATTGCAATATGATAACACTTATATCTTTTATCAATTACCTAGAGAGCAATCCCCTCCATCAAAATTACAGGCCAAACTATTACACTCCTCATCACAGTGAAGGTCTCTAGCTTTCAACTTGCACTTGTTAAAAGTACATGCTTTTTTCTCTTCCTCTAAGGACTTCTGAAGGTTTCCACCTGAAGAGACAACTGTCCCAATCCCCCCTTTAAAGACTGGATCAAAACTTTCACAGCGAAACCCATTCCAGCTTGGTGGACAATCACACTCAAATTTACCTGAGAAAAAAACAAAGCAAAATATCAGCTGAAAGCATTAGTGTCTTCAAATATTTATATATGTCTGTTCATTTCTGTTTACTTATTTACCTGTGCACCAAAATGATATTTAGAAACTGAATCTTAATAGCTATGTCTGTTAATAAATTCAGACTGGTCAACTTGCTTGAACTAATTCATTTTAAGCAAAGGGATATTGAGTATTTGTAACATAGACAAATGGAACATCAGTAAACTTTAACATTAAAAAATTAAATCTAAAATAAATCTCTAAAATAAAAGAATTTTTTGTCACACAGATACAGAAGTTTGTTTTTTCTTTGTATTCTGCTAGAAGTTCAAAATGGCTTTTCTGTCAATACAACCTTATGAGAAAGAGTTAGTTAAGAAATCACACATTTAACAGGATAGTGCATATCAAGGGCTACAAGACGATACAAGATTTCATCGTACTTAAAGACTTGATTTGGGCTTGTAATCTATCAGACTTGCAGGAATATTTAATTTAAAACCACTAGTCTAACTGGTGGAATATCATGTAGTTGTTGTTTGAGGAATGTGTTGTCATTTACTTGTTGTTCATAGCTCCAATCATATCACTTGGGAGGGAGAGAAAGGCTTTACTTGGGCATAACCAGAATAATATACTAACAATCCTGAGTTTAAAATTCTGAAAACTAAAATGGGAAATCAGTGTTATATATTATAAAGTGTGTATGTTTTTCTTATAATAAACCCACATCTGGCTATCTGCTGTGTCCACTGAGGGGAAATCGAACCCCTGATTTTAGTGTTGCAAGTCCATAGACTTACCCCTGTCCCAGTGATATTATAAAGAACAGAATTTTAAGATAACTGCCCTGATATGGCTTAAAAATCGTTTTGGAAGGCAATGGTCCACTGAGCTTCTCAAGTAGATAATTCTTATCTTGACTATTATAGTACCTGATGCTATGGGATTTATTATTAGCATTAATAGCATATTAGCATCTAACAAATCAGAAAAGATATATAGCTTACCAATGCTATCAATGCAGCTTCCCTCATTCAAACAAGGTGATGACATGCACTCATCATAAACATCAATATCGCAGTGTTTGCCACTGGTCCCTTGAGGACAGATACAGGTGTACCCACCACGATGAGATCGACATTGGCCTCCATTCTTACAAGGGCTACTAGCACATGTAGTGTTAGTATTGCTGCAGTTTTCTCCCCAGTATCCCTATACACAAAATACAAAAACAAAAATCAGTTAGGGTTAAGCCTTATTTTAACAATAAAGTCTTTATTATATGGTTTAGCTGAGTTTTAGTACCAATACAGTCTCATTTCTTCCATCACATTAATTCATATACTGTTTTGACTTATAGCTAAACATCTCTGTAATATGGTAATATAAAACTTTAAATTGTTACCCCCAAAACCTTCTAATGCAAAATTGTATATAATTCTGTATCTCTTTGCTTATTTTCAGCATTGTTTAAATAGATCCAAATACTACACAGTTTAGCCACCTTCTAATTCTATTTCATTTATTTCTGTTATAATGACTAAAATAATTTCATAATTTGAACTTCCATCAAATTCAGCATTTGTACTACTTTTGAATGATCTTATAATCTTGATAGAAAAATAAGTCCATAACATTTAATTTTTTGTGTGTTTTGACCCTGAAATTTACAATATACAGTATCATGAATATCTCTTATTCAAGTTTACATATTTTGGCAAAAACCATTTGATAAGAGCAACACATCTAACTTATTAAAATGTATCGCATGCATGTTGGTCTATTAGAAGTTCTGAGCAGGCAATTTTAACCTGACTTTAGAAAGCTTTGTTTTGTCAGATGTTACTAATTAAGTCTAATAAACTTAACTATTATTTAGTATTCATCATCAGATAAGTAGGAGTCTAGATTGTGGTTTTGTTAAAAGAAATTCTTCACAAATAAGTTTTACCTTTTTTGATGAATCTAACCAAAAATACAGTGCAAATTTATTCAACAAAATACAATATTCATAAACAAAAACCTTTTACAAAAGAACAAAAAAGGCATTTTACTGTTTTCATTATGATTAATAAATATTATGTTTTGGTTAAACATATTTAAATTACAGGAATAAAATACTTACAACAGGACAAATACAGTGAGGACCACCTTGTCGACTAGTACATATTCCACCATTTAAACATGGATTAGATGCACAGATGTCAACCTTGCTTTCACATTGTCGACCCATAAAACCAGGCTTGCAATCACAGCGATAATCATTCACTAACTGTACACAGTCCTGTGTACCAAGATTGCCACATGGATTAGAGAGACATTCATTCACATCACCTTCACACCTGGGAATTAAATGTTCACTTTTAAATCACCTTCAGCATAATAAGTATATTTAAATACATATTATATCTAAGAACATTTCTCATAAACTATATCATGCATTGAACATGACATCTTCAAATTCATCTTATAAAAATAACTTCTGAAATGTACATAAATTAAGTTCTCTCAAATTGTTTTCTCTTGAAAAAAGAAGAGCTAGGGGGGATCTGATTAAGGTTTTTAAGATTGTAAAGAGAATTGATATCGTTGATGTATCATTATTTTTTTATAGTTGACGATGAGAATAGTAGGACTAGGGGACACAAATATAAAATTTGGCAAGGTAGGAGTCATCTTCAGCTAAGACAGTTTTATTTTTCTAACAGGGTGGTTCACCTTTGGAATGGGTTGCCTTCAGATGTTGTAGAGGCAGTAAATTTAAGTGAGTTTAAGAAAAAACTTGATAAGTATATGAATGAAAAGGGCTAGGTTTAAATTTTTTTATTTTTACTAAAATTATTTTTAATTTAATTTTGAGGATGGAACAGCTGAGATGGACCAATAGGTCCCATGTTGTCTCAAAATATTATGTTATATTATGTCCCAGACAGAGAATAAAACCCAGAATAATCACTGAGATGGTGTAACTCTTTAAGTAGGGAGCAAATATTAGGCTAGCTATATTTAATCTTAACTGTTAGATTATACCATGTGTCAGGAAAAAGAAAAATGAGGAAATATTTAAGTAACAAATATCAAAAGAAGTTGTGCCTGCCCATGCACATCAAATATTTCCAGCTTCTAAGACACTGCTAAAAGGAAAAATGCAAAGTTTCACTTTGATATTCTAATCAGAAATGCTATTAGAAATAATGGTTTTCTTTACCTCTCATTCTTAAAATGGTGACAACCTAGGATATGTATTATCTAACCTAAGTTTGAGTGACACTAGAGTAATTTGAAAAAAGTTATCCAATAAAAAATGCGATCAAACCCTTAGTTACAAAAAATAGTGGTAAACATGGGCACCCACAGGAAAGGGCAAGGGGGGTCACTTGACCCCCACCCCCTGAATTTTCAAAAAGAAAAAAAATTACTAGATATGTAAAATTATTATTCTATGTTATTGCAAAATCATAAGGTATTTGTAATTACAAGGGTATTGTCCCCCCTAATTTTTTTTCTGCATGCACCCTTGGTGGT